AACGGAATCTAGCAAAAATTCCGACTACCGATCCGAGATCCGCAGATGCAAGGAAAGCAGTGATGAAACTTTTTGTCTCACCAAAAGGGGTGACAATTGAGGAACCAACTGAAAACACCACTCCGAGGAACATGGCGAGTGAACAGAGCAGGTTAGTATCAGATCCAGCAATCAACAATTGCAAGCTGAAAGCACTGATAGCTACGCCTGAAAGTAGTAATGGAATAGATCGTAGATCTAGGAGCGGAATGGCAGAGATGAAGTCCAAAACACCAAATACCAATGCAACAGTGCCATGCAAATCTGACAAGGCTGAAAATCCCAAAATCACTAACCAAATGGTGAAGGCAAGTGGAACTCAATCATGGGCAAATGTTGTAGCAGGGAATAAGCTGGCATCGAGAGTATGAATCTTCAGTATATTGCACCAATGATACAAGATGGAGAGAAAATTGTGAAATTAGACCTAAAGGATGTTGAGCAGGAAAATGAAAAATGGAGCACAACACTTGTTCTGTATGTCATTGGGGATTCACCATCCATAGGAGCAATGGAACGATTCCTTAATTCAGTGGGTAAGTACTTCATGAAACCTCAGATCTATTATCATAATGAAGACTACTTTGTAATTCGATTTGCAACTTTGGAGGAAAGAAGTCAAGTTCTGTATACTGGGCCTCATACCATTAACAGTCGTCCCATTGTAATGAAAGCATGGACACTAGACTTTAATTTGCATGAAGAAATACTGAGAACCATTCCATTATGGGTGAAGTTTCTAAATCTTCCCTTGAATTGCTGGAGTATGAAGGCACTAAGAAAAATTGGAAGTGCCTTGGGTAATCCAGTGTATGCTGATGGCTGTACAACTGGTATAGTTAGAATATCTTATGCGAGAATGTTGATTGAGACGGACATTACTAAACCCCTTCCTAGAAGGGTGAAGCTGCAGGATCCAATGGGGAAAAATTGAGCAAGAGATAAAACTAAGAGGGCTGGACCTAAGGAGAATGATCAGGAGAAGGAGCAAACAAAGAGGATGGAAACAACAAAACCCATAGAGGACAACACAATGCAGATTAGTGCAGCTACTAAATAACCTGAAGAAGAAGGGTGGACAACAGTTAGTGGGAAGTCAGCAGCAAGGATGGCAAAAAAAAAGCTAGCTGAAGCTAAGGCTCTTGTGGAAGTAATGGGTTCCAATCCTTAGAAAGAGGACAAGAGCACACACCAATGATCCAGGACCAAGCAATGTGCAGATGGGGCCTTACGAGGGATAGGAGATATATCATGATACACAATTCATACCAGTATGAGTGTAATTACATGGAATGTTAGAGGGTTAAATAAAGCATACAAGCAAAAGGAGACAAATGAGTTCATAAAGTAGAATAAAAAGGCAATGATTGCATTAGCAGAACACAGAATAAAGGAGCAGAAAGTTAGTAGTATTATCAACAAAACTGTACCAGGATGGCAGTGGATATCAAACTTCAGCAACAATATTAAGAGCAGAATATGAATTCTGGGACCCAAGAATCTTTGATTTTGAACCAATTGACATAGATTGCCAGTATATACATGGACAAGTCAGAACTCACTCAAGATTGTTAGCATTTGGTTTTACAGCAATATATGGCTTGCATAATATCAAAGAAAGGTTGAGTATGTGGAAGAAATTGAGGCAAATAAACAGTATACAGCAGGGACTGTGATTAGCAATGGGAGATTTCAATTCAGTACTTAATAGTCAGGATAGACAGCATGGTACTATAATACAAGATATGGAAACAAAGGATTTCAAGGAATTCATGAATGACACTGGCATGAATGAGTTACCTACTGTGAGAAGGAATTATACATGGACAAATAATCATACCTATAGCAGGATAGACGGGGGATGGTTAACACAAACTGGATGATGAAAATGCCCAATCTGTACATACAAAATCCTAGAACCATCTTTTTCTGATCATTCACCCCTTAAGCTGATGATCTCACAAATGTAGAGGAAAAAAGCTTGTCTGTTCAGGTTATTTAACTGCCTAGCTGATCACCCCCAATTCATACCAGAAGTAGAACAAGCATGGAGTACAATTTGAGATACTGGGAAACTACAAGGAGTGTGGAACAAACTCGAGAGAGTCAAGCAAGTTATTAAGGGCCTCAATACACAGCAATACAAAGGTATTGATGGCAGAATCAAAGAAATCAGAAGGAAACTACGGTAAGTGCAGGAGAAAATAGGCCGTAGAAAGATGAACACGGAACTAGTTGAGAAAGAAAAGGAACTGAAAAGTAACCTAGAGAGGTGGATACTGATAGAAGAAAGCATTTATAGGCAAAGATCAAGGGTACAATGGCTGAAGTTGGGAGATTCTAATTCTGCATACTTCTTTGCACATATGAAGATCATAAACACTTTAAATGGAATCTATGCTCTCACTACTGATCTAGGGTTTAGGTACATATGGAGGAGGAAATAGAGACTGAAATACTTGGATACTATAAACAGTTCCTAGGGTCAAATGCTCCTGCAATCGCAGCAGTAGATCCAAATGTAATACAAAGAGGGACAATGCTCAAAAGTATTTTTCAAGAAGTCATGGCATATCATAGGGGAGGAGGTAATACAAGTTGTACTGGATTTCTTTCAATCATCACAGATATTCAAGCCAGTTAACTGCACATCAATAACTCTAATACCAAAGTCAGAAACCCTGCTACCATTAAGGAGTATAGACCTATTTCGTGCTGCACCAGAATCTACAAAGTTATTTCAAAGATCCTGACTAGTCAACTACAAGGAATCATGGATGATTTAATAGATAAGACTCAGTCTTCTTTTGTTCCTGGAAGAATTATTATTAATAATATCATACTGAGCCATGAGTTAGTAAAAGGGTATGGAAGGAAAAGGGAGTCACCTTGATGCATGATGAAACTGGACATGTAGAAGGCATATGACTCACTTGAATGGATTTTTCTTGAACAGGTATTGTGTGCATTAGCATTTCCAGAGAAGTTTGTGAAATGGATAATGATTTGTGTACAAAGTGTTACTTATACCATCATCTTGAATGGTTCACCAACTCAACCATTTGAGGCCAGGAAAGGACTTAAATAAGGGGAAACACTATCCCCATTTTTTTTTGAACTGGCAATGGAATACCTCACTAGAAGATTGAAGGCACTGCACTGTATCCCTGACTTCAACTTTCATCCCAAATGTGCCATGATACAGATCATGCAAGTTGAATTTGTAGATGACCTTTTATTATTCTGTAGGGGAGACACAGTTTCAGTTCAGCTCTTATACAAGTGCTTTCTGGACTTCTCAAAAGTGTCAGGACTGGAAATTAATAGGCAGAAAAGCTCCATCTTCTTTGGTGGAGTTTCACAAGATGTTCAAAAAGAAATATTAGAGTTCCTTGGAATCCAAAGAGGGGAGTTGCCAACATGATATCTTGGAGTACCTTTAAGCTCTAAAAAAGTGTCAATAATTCAGTGTCAAACTTTAATTGACAAACTAGTAGGAAGAATCACATCCTGGACAACCAAGTTATTGTCACATGCAGGGAGGCTACAACTCATCAAAGTTGTCCTGTTTTTCATTCAAATTTACTGGGCTCAAATTTTCATGTTACCAAAGAAGATTACCAAACTGGTTGAGGCAATTTGCAGAAGTTTCTTATGGAAAGGGGATAGCAATATTTCAAAGAAAGCTCTCCTAGATTGGGAGAAAGTCTGCCATCCCAGATAGCAGGTGATTTCAATATAATGGACATAGGCCTATGTAACAAAGTAGCCATCAGCAAGCAACTATGGAACTTATGCAAGGAAAAGAACAAGTTATGGATACAATGGATGCACTGTTACTATATAAAAAGCAAACATGTATGGGAGGTGCAAACTAGCCAAGCATCATGGATCATGAGGAAGACTCTGAAAGCCAAAGAGAACTTTGAGAAAGTAGGCTACACCTACGAAGGCCTAATGCAGATGCAAACTTGCTCTATAAAACACATGTACCATAAGTTGCAAGGAGAATTCAACAAAGTAAGCTGGAGGAAATTGGTATGCAACAATGCAGGATGTCCTAGGTGGATATTCACGCTAACATTGGTGGCTAATGGCAGGTTATACACAAAGGATAAGTTGCTAAAATGGGGCATTTATAATGATCAAATATGTCCTTTATGTTCACATGCAAATGAAACCATCCAACATCTATTCTTTAAATGTCAATATGCTGCTGAGTTATGGAAAAAGGATGCTCAACTGGCAAGGTATCTACAAAAACATCTATGGTTGGTCTGAGGAACTACTTTGGGCGGAGAACTAGGCGAGAAACAGAAGTGCAAAAGCAGAGTTTTTCAAGGTTGTGCTAGCAACACAACACAACACAAACCCAGTTTGATCCCAACAGGTGGGAAAGGTTGTGCTAGCAGGCTGTGTATAGTTTGTGTGGCAGGAAAGGAATGCAAGACTATTTCAAGCCAAGTCGAGGAACTGTGAGATACTTAGCAAACTAATTGTACAAGAAGTGCATTGTCGAAGCAATAGGAAAATAGAGAAAATACTGAATAGATTAGACTACTATCCAAAGTAATAGTTAGAACTGTAGAAGGATAGTAGAAAGAGTGTATATGCGAGGAAGGGAAGTATAGTAAACTTCATAAGGGTTCTGTCTTGATTGTAAATATTTTTTCCCTCGTATATATAAAAGTTTAGTTACCAATTTTTTTTTATCATATGATGATTTATAGTACGCAAATTTTTAAGTATTATTTTAGAGACTATAATTCTTTTTAGAAAAAAATTCTTAAACTCCAAACTCAATTAAAGAATACACATAAATTGAGAGGAGGAGTAAGTCTTATGCCTTTTAACATTTTCTTTCTCCTTTACATAAAATTGTGGGGTTGAAAATGGGGTGGGATGGGGGGGGGGGGGTTGTGGTATATTTGTAACTAGGGAGTAGTACAAAAGCACTTTTAGCAAAGGTCAAGAAAAAGCAACCCCCAACTCAATCAACATGCATACAGAGTCAGCTCAGTCCCCATTCTGATGATGGCCGCTTTGGCCGTCAAACAACACAAAGTCACAGAATCAAAACAAACAACACTTCCTCCTCTGCTCACCTTCTATGACCCTTTCCCTCTTCTTAAACCCCCTCTTCTCTATTCTCCTTGGTTTCTGTGCTTTCCCATTTTCTCAACTCTCTCTCTCTTTTGCATTCGGTAAAGAAAGAAAAAAGGTAAAGACTTTCTTGTTATTTGTTCCTTTTGCTGTGTAAAAAAAAACCCCATTTTGAAGAAGAGAAAAGGGTGTCTTAAAATCTCGATTTTTTATAAAAATGGGAAGCAAATGGGCTAAAGTGAAGCTGGCTTTGGGCTTGAATCTTTGTACTTATATTCCAAGAACACTTGATAATGATGATTATGATGAAGAGGATAGTTCTTCCTCTGTTTCTGAGCCTGAGAAGAACTCCAGCGCCGCCCTTATCTCGCCGGTGACGGCTGACATCCAACGTGCTCCTCCGGCCACGGTGCCTCATGGGTCGAAGTTGTCCAAGAGCTTTAGTAGGCCTTCTAAGGTATATCTTTGTCTTTAAAGCTTTTTGGTAAGTTTTGGAATTGTAGTATTTGTTGGGTGAGTAATACATGAATTCTTAAAATGGAATTTCTTTTTTTTTGGGTTTTAATCAGTATGCAGATGTGTTTGGTTTGTAAGAAAATTTTGAAATTAATTTGTTTTGGAGCTGAGTAAAGAAGATATCTATCAATCTAGTAGTAGTTTTTATGCTTTTCTTTGAGATTTTTGGCATTCATTTCTTGTTTGTTTCCCCCTCTCAATTTGGTTGGAGTTACTTTTGCTTCTCTATTCTTCTATTTATGTCATGTAATATGTGGCAAGCCCCTATTTTCCTTTGGTGGATTTTGATTACCTGTTGTCTACCTTTTTATGATTGTGATAATTCTTAGTGACCAAGGACTTAATCTTTCATATTGACTAAATTCTTACAGTGAGTAGTTTTAAAAGTCTACCATACTGTTGTTTTGTGTTTGTTATATTGACTGCAAAAATGTTGATGCTTCCCCCTTTAGTTAATTGAAAAAAAAGCATAGCCGTCATTGTATGTACAATTTGAACTCTTTTTTCAGTCTTTTAGCATATTGATTTCTGTTGCCAAATCACTCACATGATAAAGTCTATTCAATTTTTTAACATTACTAACTTGAGAATTTTTTCTTGTGTTTACTTCATAACTTTTCAAGTTGAGAAAAGTGAAGAGATCGACTATTTTGAGCTCTTGCATGTGATTTGTTCGTAAAAGCCCCTTTTGCAAGCGTGTGACTTGTTATACCATCTCATAGATTTTCTTTTTAATAACTCGGAAAGAAAGGTGGTCGTTCAGCAGCTTGCTTGTTAAATATCTGGAAAAAAATGCACATTTTTCCCATTTGGCCATGTTGGTTATCAGTTTCCATCCTTCATTTACAATTTATGATTTCTCGAAGTATAAAATGAACGCGTCCAAGATAAGGCCTGCATTTACTATATGTGTCCTTTTCAGGATCTTTGTTATTTTCTTCCTCTAATAGAGGCATTTTACATATCTTGGACAATTCGAAAGGTGGCTTTTTCTGCAACTTTCTTTGTAGACTCTTCGTCTTAAAGTTTGCATATTTATCCCAACCAAGAAAAGAAGCAGGAAAGATGCCTGCATGAACTGTTTTTTTCCCCCTTATCTCATTGACTCCTGTGTTATTTTACTTCTGGGATTGCCATTCTATTTTCTCTAGATCAAACTGCCTTGAGAGCTTTCTTGGTGTCCGAAGTTGATTCTATTTTGCATCCTGTCTGCTTTACCAATTCAATAACAATTCTTCTCTTGTGTTTCTCTTTAGCGCAGTTTGGGTCATTGACGGGGCCATAGATTTATTTTGTGGCTGCTGAAAGCGGCATAAGGGAACAAAATTTTGATCAATAAGGATGCTAATCATATTCTTAATAAGATCATGGAAGACCATCTTTTCATCTTGTTATTTTAGATGCCTTATGTTGTCATACCACAACTGTTGCTATGTCCTCAAGCTTCTTTAAAACTGAACATATAATCCATTTTTTATTGTGAAATGTGCTTTTAACCCAACTAATGTGATGTACAAATGCGTCCCTTTATTTCTCGAGGAGATTAATAAGTTTAAGCACAAGTTGCAGTTTTTTTAAATTTCTTTTGTGTTGGTAATCTTATATAGAGCACTTTGACCAAATCCCATATATCCAAATGTGAGCCCTTTTAGGATAACTATTTGTCTGGTAAACCAGTAGTGTTCAGTATGGGGCAGTTTATGGTTCTCTGCAGGCTTAATTTCGTTCTTATGACATTGAAAATGTTACTGCCGTTTCTTGTCTTCTAGGATTGTAGGTGTATTACTGTAATTGTTGGGAACTAAAAATATCATATTGTCATGGTTCTCTGCAAGCTTAATTTCGTTCTTATGACATTGAAAATGTTATTGCCGTTTCTTGTCTTCTAGGATTGTGGGTGTATTACTGTAATAGTTGGGAATTAAACATATATCTACTGCCGTCTTTGCCTCATATTGTCATGGTTATTTGCGTTTTAGTATGCGATGCATTTTTTCTGATTGTACCTTTTCCCTCAATTTATCTATCTCATGTCATTAAATTGTTATTACTATTCTATTCTTATCTCACCAGTTAGTAGTTTCAACTTGCAGAGAACGTGCTCTATATGTTTGGCTTCAGTGAAGCGAGGGGATGGTCATGCAATATTTACTGCTGAATGTTCACATTCATTTCACTTCCAGTGTATTGTTTCAAATGTAAAACATGGAAACCAAATTTGCCCAGTTTGCAGGGCAAAATGGAAAGAAATCCCTGTTAATTTTCCCAGCCTGGATACTCCCCTTGGGAAGGCTAGAATCAATCCCGTAGACTGGCCCCAAAATAATGTGTTAACGACAGTAACACATCGTCCACCAGTAAGTCGTCCAACCCCCAATCGGCATATTTCACCATTATTTCAGGCTCCCGAGCCTGCCATCTTTAATGATGATGAACCTGTGGGTCACCAAGTTGATTCTACTGACAAAAGTGCTTCACATGAGAGTTCAATAGACATTTGTGACAACAGAGCTGTAAAGATTGAAACTTTTCCAGAGGTTCCCGCTGTCCCAAGGTCTATACCTACAAATAATTTCTCTGTATTAGTTCATCTCAAAGCTCCTGGTTCAGTTTCGGTTCAAGATTCCTGCAGAAACCAGGCTAGTTTGCCCAAAGAATCCCATATGCCTCGTGCACCTGTTGACCTTGTGACAGTTATTGATGTAAGTGGAAGTATGGCTGGCACCAAACTTGCACTACTAAAACGGGCTATGGGTTTTGTGATACAGAATCTTGGTTCCAGTGATAGATTGGCAGTAATCGCCTTCTCTTCAACAGCTCGCCGCCTCTTCCCGCTTCGTCGGATGTCTGAAACAGGACGGCAGCAAGCACTACAAACTGTAAACTCCTTAGTTGCTAATGGAGGAACCAATATTGCTGAAGGCTTGAGAAAGGGTGCCAAAATAATGGAAGACCGCAGGGAAAAGAACCCAGTTGCTAGTATAATTCTGTTATCTGATGGTCAGGACACATATACAGTCAATAATCATGGTAGTAGTAACCAGCAGCAACCCAATTACAAGTTGCTTCTTCCCTTGTCTATTCACAGCGGAGACAGTTCAGGGTTTAGAATTCCAGTGCATGCTTTTGGGTTTGGTGTGGATCATGATGCTTCATCAATGCATTCGATATCAGAGATTTCAGGAGGGACCTTTTCTTTTATTGAGACAGAAGATATAATACAGGATGCATTTGCTCAATGCATTGGAGGTCTCCTCAGTGTCGTAGTCAAGGATCTGCAGGTAAGCATCGAGTGTCTTCAAACAGGAGTCCAGCTTGGCTCTTTGAAAGCTGGAAGCCATCCAAACCGTTTAATGTCTGATAGACGGATGGGATCAATTGATGTTGGAGATCTATATGCCGATGAAGAAAGGGACTTTCTGGTTTCAATCAATATCCCCGCCGAATCATTGAGCCCAGAAACTTCACTTTTGAAGGTTAAGTGTGTTTATGTGGATCCTTTGACGAAACAAACGGTTACCCTCAGAAGTGAAGAACTTAAAATAAAGAGACCGGAAAAGGTTGTACAAGAGCGTGTTTCGATCGAAGTAGACAGGCAGCAGAACAGACTCCGAGCAGCTGAAGCAATGGCTCAGGCGCGAGCAGCTGCTGAGAAAGGAGACCTGGTTGGTGCAAGTTCCATCCTAGAAAACTGCCGAAAGTTGTTGGCTGAGTCAGTGTCGGCTAAATCTCAAGACCGGCTCTGTATTGCACTTGATGCTGAGCTCAAGGAGATGCAGGAGAGAATGGCAAGCAGACATGTATATGAAGCATCAGGAAGGGCATATATATTGTCCGGACTAAGCTCACACTCATGGCAGAGAGCAACAGCACGAGGTGACTCTACAGATGGATCAAGTCTCATCCAAGCCTATCAAACCCCATCAATGATAGAGATGGTAACTCGCTCTCAGGCTACATTACTTGGTAGCCCATCTGCTCAGAGATTTGTTCGACCGGTATGGTCATTAGCATCCCAGCCGAATCCTAGGTACATAACCAGGGAGGGTTTCTAATCATAAGAGGTTACAAATGTACTTCATTTGTCTTTTAGTATAATTAGTTTTGGGATGGAACTAGAGAAGTTTTTTTATGTCAATATATTCCTGTCTATTCTTGTAAAGGAATAAACTTTGATCAAGGGGAAAATGGTAAGGGTAAAATATAAATTTTAGAAAAGTGGGGGGATGCACTAGTTAGGTTATTGCTTTTTTGTTGCTTTTCTTTAGAATTTTGTAGTTGTGGGTGATGTACATAAGGAAAGATTTGTCTCAAGGAAAAATGGGTACAAGTAATTTTGTGGGATCTACCTTGTGAAATTTCATCTATATATAGGTGAAGGTGATCCTGTACAAAAATTAGTCTTTTTTGCATGGCTTCTTGAATTGATCCTTTTGCTTTTCTCTAACTGTATGTAAATCAGTTGCTTTCAGGTGTCTGGAAAGATTCCTCTTTTATTCAAGATTCCAATTGGCTTAGTTCTAATTGCATGACGACAAGCATCGACAATTCAAAAGCCAGTCAACTAGTCCAAAGGCCTTTTCTTTTGTGGGGGTTTTAGACGGAGGAATTGAACTTTTGAATTTAAATGCACTTTGCAGAATCTTAGCTACAAACATACATTTGCATCTACACCCGCTTTTTGTATCACATTTTAACTTGTGCCCGCTTTGCAAAAAAAATTGCAAGCGTACCCGCTTTTTCGCATAACTTCAGCACACGGGGCTGAAGTAGCAAAGGCAATCACGCAAAACTTCAGCATTCTAGTAGCCGGGCCTGAAGTTCAGCTCTAGAGTTGAAGTTTTTGTTTTGTAACTGGCGAAAGTTTTTGTGTTGTAACTGGGAAACTTCAGCTCTAGAGCTGAAGTTTTTGTGTTGTAATTTTTGTGTTGTAACTGGGAAACTTCAGCTTTAGAGCTGAAGTTTTTGTGTTGTAACTGGGAAACTTCAGCTATAGAGCTGAAGTTTTTGTGTTGTTACTGGAAAACTTCAGCTCTAGATCAGATTTAATCATAACCATCCAATTAGGTAAGATTTCCTCAATCTTTATCTATGTTTTACAAGTAAAATAAAGACTCGAAAACAAAATCAGGTTCCTTTCGCCATCTGGAGTTTGTCTATTTATTTAGTGTTCACATCTGGGTTTAGTTTGCCCCATCCCCCGGATGCAAGGGATTGGTATTTTCATTAAAATCTTTTTTTTTGGGTGAGAATCTGTCTCAGTGAATTTGCTCATACTATCGGTCCAAAGCTCGAATAAAGAAGGCGATCTGTAATATCCAATGTAAAATGACCAACAAAGCAGCAAGCACATCGGTGCCTTTGGAAATTAGGAACAAGTGCATGAAGTTTCTTATCTAAAGCTGAAGAAAGAGAGCATTGTTGAAGTCATCGTTGTAGAAGAAGAAAAAAGAAAATGAAGGAGAAGAAGGAGGAGGAGAAAGGGAGCTGAAATTGTTTAAAAAGTGGGTACAAGTTAAAAGTCTTTAAAAAAATGGGTATAGGTTAAATGGGGGCGACCAAATAGGGCGCCCCGTACAATTTTTACTGAGGCTACATGATTTATAGCAAAAAAGTTTTAAAGGATGAGAGTGAGAAAAAAAAAACTATGTCAAAAAGCTAAGTTAGAAAGGATTAAAGGGGAAAAAAGAAGCAATCTTTAGAATTCATGACAGAGTATGATGGTGAGGGGACTTTGTGCTGTAGTTGTGAGGCTGCATGATTTAGTAGGGGAAAAGTTAAGAAGGATGAAAGGAAAAAAGAAGCATCTTTATAATTCATGACAAAATATGATTCTGTGCTGCAATTATGCACTCTCTTTTTTTCTCATTAACCGGTGGCCCATTCATTATGATTTATACTCCAACTTTCTTTAATCTTTTATAACTCATGACAAAGTATGTTAGCCATGTCGTAAACTTTACCACTTCCAAGAAAACTGTGTCCACCTTCTAGAGCTACGTGCTCTTTCTTTTTCTTTTTTGTAATTATTACACATATGAAATAACTATGAAATATGTTGTTGTCAATTTATTTGCACTTTGAATATATTGTACTACCACAAAATACCATATATAGCGCCACTTTTTGTGGCACTACATCAGCTGTGTCAGATTTTTTTTGTATAACGCCAGAAAATCTGGCGCTATACATTAACGGTGCAGTTACCGTTAATGTATACCTATTTGTATAGTTTGAGTCCAAAAGAACCACATTTTGGTTCCGGACTCGGCATTCTCCTTAGTATCTTTCTATATTTATACTTTATCAAAAGTTGGCAGCTCCCCAAAATTAAAATCTGAAGGTCCAGAACTGATAATATAGACTGTTAGTCACCTCTCATTTTAAACAAGGGTAAAAATTATTTATACTCTAACTTTGCTTTACAAATTAAACTCACACCTTAACTTTGAACTATAGATATTCTGCGTCCATATATCAATTGACTTTTTTAAACACCTATTTTACCCTTATATTATCAATCTTTATCTTTTCTATTTTACTTCTACAAAATCATGATAATTATTTTTTATTTTTAGTCTATGTAACAGATTTACCTATAAAAAAGTAATATACTATTTTTAAGACAAAAAAAGTAAAAAGTATTAATTAAGCATATAATTTAATGGAGTTCTATAATGAAATAATTCAGCAAAATAAAAAAAATTAATTTTTTTATATTAATAGCAATCAAAACTATATATATATATATATATATATATATAGTTTTTAGTAAACGACCTCGGATTGGTGATTTGATGATTTCGGTAGGTTCGTATAGTGTTTCAGACTTGTACGCATGTTTGGTTGGGGTCTCGGGTGACTCGGGGGCGTTTCGGCACATTATGTTAAAAATTAGAAAAAATGTGTTTTAAGTTGAAAATCTTGAGTTTTGATGATCGATTACTGATATTTGATGTAATTTTAATGATTTGAGATAGCGAGACAGTTTGTATAATGTTATGACACTTGTGTGAATGTTCGGATCAGAGACTGAGAGGTTCAGATGAGTTTCAGATGAATTTTGAAAATTTTGAACTGCTGATGAGTGCCGATGAGGACTGCCTGCAAATCTTGCAATTGCGAGGTACCTAGTCGCAAATGCGAGCATCGCTTTAGTGTGTGATGGTTCGCATTTGCGAAGAGGGGCTGGGACTGGGCACTTCGCATTTGCGAAGTTTGAGTCGCTTTTGTGATATGGGGGGTCATCGTATTAGCGACTATGGTGGCACATTTGTGGTAGCGGGCATTATAGAGCAGCTTCACATTTGCGAAATGGAGGGCCTTGGAAAATGCGAAGCAAATGTTGCATTTGTGACAACTGTGTGGCTAGGACACTGATCGCACTTGCGATCAATGGTTTTCTTTTGCGATGGCTGCAATTGCGAATAAGAGTTTGCAATTGCAACATTTGTAGCTGGGTAAAGTTTTGGAATGTCGGGACTTATATTTTACACCATTGTTTTCAACTTTAAACTCCATATAGTCCATTTTTGGACAGCATTTTCTTCCCAAATTCATAGGTAAACAACTTTAACATATTTTCAATCAATTTCAATTACTTTTTTCATGAATTTTATCATCAAATCTATGAATTTCAACGTAGAAATTAGGGGTTTTGGGTAGAATTTATTGATTTGGTGAAAGTGAGATTTAAACCTCGAATTAAGGTCGAATTTTGAAATAAATTATATTTTTGGGCTTGGGGGTGAATGGATAATTGGGATTTGGTCCTAATATCGAATTTTGACTATGTGGGTCCAGGTTGACTTTTTCCATTTTGTTGAAGATTGAACCTTTTGTATCTGTGGGTAGTTTATAAGGCTTGACTTGAATTTTCTGAACTATATTTGACTAGATTCGATTGGTTTGGAGGCTTGTTCTAAAGGAAAAAAGTGGTTGATTGTTGATTGTGTTCCAAGAAGATGTAAGTGTCTTGGTTAACCTTGATTGAGGAAAATAAGGTAGAATCGAGTCTATTTCCTATGTGAACTATGTGTTGGGGCCGGCGTATATGCATGGTTATGAGTGTATATGGTCCATGGGATAAGCTTGCGGGTGGAATTTATCTTACTTGTACCATATTAATTCGTATACTACATCGTCCATGCTTTAAATGGATTGTTAATTCTTTGATTACTCCCTTTTATGATATTTCTTGTGTTGAGATTGTTGTGATATTGATAGTTGAGATCATGGATTGTTGATTGGTTGTTGACACTAAATATTGAAAGATTCTCATACAATGAGTTGTGTTCTAACACTATTGTTGAAGTTAAATTTGCTTCCCAGCTTACTTGGTATTGTGTTGTTGTGATTGTATGGTGGGAAGAGTGAAAAGCACGAAGGGTGTTGCCGTGCCTTATTTGCATATTGATATCATTGCTTGAGGAAAAGTGAGGATAAAACACGAATGGTGTCACGACCCAATTCTCACTGTAGACCATGATGGTGCCCAACATCACCGCTTGGCAAGCCAACGGTGAACTATCCATGTAATTGTTCATTGGAAAATTTTAAAAGTAATTGATTTTATTTAATAAGAGAACTATTAGCATGAAATTATAGTAAAGTAAAACATAAAATACCAAAAGAGTAATATAGTGAATTTGATACTCAAAACCATAAATGTTCACTAGAATATTCCAAAAACCGATTTCACAAGTGCATGAGCAAACCAGTAGAATATATAAAACCTCCTATACTATTGTCTGGAGTAAGATAGACAGAAAATAAATACTTAAAAAGAGACTTCGGGCGTTGCAGAACGGGCATAGAGAGCAGCTCACTACTAAACCTTGGGGTAATGGGGGTACGCGCCTGAATGGCCGCAGATGCACCCGTCTTAGATCCTATACGATTAGTGCAGAAGTGTAGCATGAGTACATAAACAACATGTACCCAGTAAGTATCTAGTCTAACCTCGAAGAAGTAGTGACGTGGGGTCGACATCGACACTTACTAAGGGCCAATAAATAAAGTACAGAAATTCTAAAACTAGGGCGTGGGAAATACATCAATAACAAATTAACGCAAATTAATGAAAATATTAAAAAAGTGATTCTTTAACTAGATGTCAACTAGGATCTCAAACTATCACATACTAACTCCAACAAATAAGAGCCATCAAGTAAATTATAATTTCTTAAGTCATGGAAGAAATATCAAGTATAGTTGGACTCTGAATAATATCATGCACGTTTTATGCGGAGGTCGTACGACCCGATCCAGAATAATATGTATACTGAAAAGGGTCAATCGACGCGAACCATAGATGCATTTATTATACTGCCGAGGCATTCGGCCCAATCCACAAGAAGGGAAAATACTCTACGAACTCCGATTAACGGCTACTACATAAGAATAATACTTCAAGAAGGTATAGTTTCCACCAACAGTCTAGTAACCCACCAAAACCTTAAAGTAGTAAAACTCGGTCTTTACAATCCTTTATCCAATCTTAAAATATAATTTATGGAGTCAAACTACCAAGTTGAGTACAATAAATAAGAGTAATACATGGAAGAGTCCTAAAACTACCCAGACTTAGGCATGATTTTTAGCTATATGTGGACTCTCACCACATCATACGCACGTAGCCCCACAATTATTAGCAAAAGAATCATTTATAGCACCTACGGAGAGAATTACCTCTTACAAGGTTAGGCAAGAGGCTTACCTCATTCCCAAGTTCACTTTCTGGTCCACAAATCACTCTAAAGCTTCATTCGGTGCCGAACAATCCGAAACTAGCCAAATATTGTATAAATCAATCAACATACACTCAAAAGTTCAAAATTTATCTATCAGAGTAATTACCTAACCCAAATTGGAAGATTCCTTAAATCCACCCTGGGCCTCGTTCCCGGATTCCGAAAATTATCGAAGATAAATGTTACTCATAACCTTACAAACCCGAATATATAATTTCTACTAAATTCCATAATCATTTTCGTGGTCTAATCTCATTTTTATCAAAACCTAGATTTTCCAACTAAACTTATAATTTCTACAATTGATATGTTAAAATTTACCCAAAATTCATGAATTAAACTCACATTAAGTAGTAATTACTTACCTTACGATGATAGGTGAAAAATCACTCTCTAAGATCTCGACAATCGACCACCCAAAGTAAAAATGAGAGAAAAAGAGCCTTAGTCTCATATAAATGCACCCCTTCTGCCCCAGCGGTTTTTGCACCCATGGCAAAATAGTTGCACGTGCGACTCCGCACCTGACAGAAAAATCATCGCAGGTGCGGTCCTTGGCAGGCCAGCTCCCCTCGCTTCTGCGGACCAAAGCTCGCTTCTGCGGAAAAGTGGATCGCACCTGCAATCCCACACCAGCCCCTAAGCTTCCGCTTCTGCGGAATAAACATGTTACATCCCATATTTTTGTACGTAAACGTACGCCATAAGTAAATTGATGAAAGCTCGAAAATGAGATATTACCCGCATTTTCGTATGTTAAAGTTTCATCGTAAGTTAATCAACGTAAGCTCGGGAATGAGATTATTTTGAGGTTATAAGTATTATGCTAATTCAAACAAGTGATAAATAAATTCGTGAAGGTGAGAGGGTAAGCGAATCAAAGAAAATGTGTTTCGTCGAAGTTTGATATTTTGGGATAAAATACGGTCCGAGCTATAATACCCGATATTTATGGACTAATGTCATACAAGGTACCACATGACCATGATAGTGAGGTGTATAAAGTGTGTTAAAAGTGAATAGTATTTTAAGTAATTTGAGATAATTTTTAATTATGTGGGTAATTGGTTAATTATTGAATTAGTGGAGGATTAACAAGTGTATTCGAAAAAGGAGTGAATTTTTGGATAAAGTGTAACCTCCCCCCCCCCCCCCACAACGTGGCAGCCCAAAGAGGCATTGATGATGAGTCTTAACTCACAAAATAAGGTGGCATGCTAGGGGCTTTAGGCTAAAGCTTAGTCATCATCTAGTGGGGCCCACACCCACCAAGGTTTAAAATATTACCTNTATATATAACGCCAGAAAACCGTTAATGTATAGCGCCAGGTTTTCTGGCGTTATATATAGTATGGTAACTTTTTTTTTTTACACCTATTTGTGTAGTTTGAGACCAAAAGAACCACATTTTGGTTCCGGACTCTCTGAAATCCCTCACTTGTCAGGCTTTGCTGAAATTGGACACTGGGTTTCAGGACTAAGAGAACACAGAATACTTCCATAAATATTCACATTAATGGCACAGCTGACTTTCCTCTGGATAGGTTGTTTCAGGAAATTTAAAATCCCAAAATTGGCTACGAGTCACTTACATTCAGCCTGCTTAGAGGTGCATATACAACTAAAAGCATACACAATGCAACAACCGATCAAAAAAATTTCACCAGTTAACTCAAGGAAAGGAAGAGCTGCACTGCTGGTATATTATTGAAAAAGAGAATCCCTACACGCTGCAAAATTATAGCACAAAAGAATCTCAGTAACCTTTTCGTTGTTTTATATGCTTTCCTTGGGCTTCGGGATTTTTTTATATTCATAATCATTAATATCCACCTTCTCCTGCAAAGCCTGCAAAGGACAATAGGCATCGAGGTAAGCTTAAGAAAGGAATTCAACACATGCACACTTGACGAGAATATTTGTACCTTTAGTTCTTCCTCCAAGTTAATTTTTTTGGGGTTATATGCATTGACAGGTCCAGCCCTGGAAAGAGCTTTTCTTGTTTCGATGATTTCCCACTCTTGATCGTCCTTTACTTTAGCAATATCCTTGCTGAACTACAAAAGTTTGCACCGCTTAGTCTTAAACCAGGGCAGAAAGAAGGGGACAACATCTTAAAATACATTCATGAGGCCCTGCATATGGCATGAGAATAGGGAGAACACCAAAAGCTGAGAATTTTGCCTATCTGTAAACTGAAGGGTGGGCATGAACCACAGAATTACATCCCGTGAGGGGTAAGAGATGGCTTATTTACCGTCTGGCCCTCATATTGCCCCGTAGACTTGGGCGGACTGAAATAGCCCATTAAAATTAAGGGCTGCGCTGAGCTAAAGAAATTTAATCTAGCGTGATGCTGTTAGTTAGAAGCACTAATGAACTATAGTAAGTTATTACTGCATTAGCAATACACATACATACCATCATCACCATAATAATCCAGAAGACAAAAGCACAATAACATCAGAGTGTGAAAAGATAAAAGTAAAATGATCCAAAACAAGAAGATATACATGGAATTTAGGTCAAAAAAGTAAGTGAATTTTCCAACTTGAATTATTGTCAAACTTTTTCTGCACCATCAATATACTTTTGCCTTTTGACTTATTACATTTGCTTTGGCATTTGTCATACTTCAATGATGATTCTCCTCCAAATATTAGTTTTTTAAATAAGGTAATGAATTTCATAGAAGACAAGGCGCAAAAATTACAATGCAAGATAAAAATATAAAGATGTTAGCTCTATTACAAAAGGTCAAATCTAAAGTTAAGGAGCTAACGAAGTCCAAAAAAGTTTCCAGGGAATTAACAGGGTAAAAGCTAACTTCAACCATATTCAGTTAACTTTTACAGTGTTAACTATACAGGATAAATGTATGTTAGTTAGTGTTGTTCCCTGTTGATAGCAATATTAATTATAAATCTAATGGACTATAAATAATTCATATTCCAATGCTATTACGAAATATAAGGGTCTGGGATACTTGAGGTTTCTTGGACAAGCTATGGAGTATGTTTATATTCCTGCAAATTTAACTGTCTGTTTGCATGTTTGATTGTCTAGAATGGCCAGTTTAGTCCTTTGAATATTGGAGTCACAAAATTGAGGAAAGATTCAGTAGTCCCTCTAAAGGATGCTACCATTAGCCCCATTATACATGGCTCCGTCCTCTGAATTTGTAGTATTGACGAAATAACAGTCAGAATGGCTGGAAGAGTGAAAACTTATTACCATTACATGAGATGATAATGAAAAGAGTTCTCCATGCCTTTTAATTCTCTTTATTGCTTGATATTTTTTCTCTTTCCCGCAAAGATCATGCCATTATATGAGATAAAGTCAACATGAATGATAGAGAAAATAAAAGAGAGAAAAAGTTAGAGTAGACATTGTTGTGCTTATCATCAGCTGCAATAGCTTCTTTCTTCCACTCATTATGACTCTTAATGCTTTGATATATGTAAAATCCTACCAAGCACAATAAGATCTACCAATGAACCACTACGAATCATCAATACACTGCCCTTAATTATTTCATTAATAGGCAGCACCGATCAAAAGGCAAAACAAGCACAACTTGCAAATTGACCAGGTGGAAGGTGATTTGAATAGGCGAGATATCATAAGCTAGTAGCTACACATGATATAGTTTAACTGCTTAACTCTGTTAGCAATACTAAGATAAGTCATCTTACACATTTTGAAGGTTAGTACTTCTCATAATAATATGCAACTAAATTTTTTTATTTATTTTTATAACCATAGTATCCTAGCCAGCTCGCGTGTACCTCGACTAAATTCACGGGATACCTGTTAACTGCCACCAGCACAGGTACCGAGTAACTCTATCCACCAGGGCTTGGACAAATGGAAAGAAATCACCGAGTGATTTTGCCTCCACTTGGATTTGAACCTGAGACCATATGGTTCTCAACCCACTTCATTGACCACTAGGCCGCTCACATGGGTGCAGCAACTAATCTTATCGATAAAAATCCACAGCGCAAGAACACAAAAAGACCAAAACAAAAAATCACCATGGATGCCATTCCACTCATCAATCATTCAAGATAAACCTTTTTTTTCGGGGAAAGATCTCGTTACACATGCTAGAGTATCATTGACCCTAAACCTTTAGGGGTCGTTTGGTAGGATGTACAAGAATAGTGTTATAGAGTGTATTGGTAATGCAAGAATTAGCAATGCATGGGTTAGTAATGCAAGCATTAGTTATGCAGAGATTATTTCTTATCCATTGTTTGGTGTGGTGTATTAAAAATTAAAATGCGTTGAATAATTTTTAAGAAAATTAGTTCTTTAAAAAGATGCCCTCCATATTCTTTAGCTTTAAAGGACTTCAAGGACAATTTTGTCTTAACCATGCTAATGCATGCATTAATAGCCTTGGTATTGCTAATACCATGGTTTGCTATGTATTAATTATACATAGGATAATGCCAAATATGTTGTATAAATAATACTTATATTAGTAATACATAGGTTGGAAAAAGTGTACCAAACAATAAATTAGTAATACCAAAAGCTAATGCATGCATTATTTTCTGTAATACATCCTACCAAACGACACCTTAGAGGTTTCACAATCCCATGTCCCCTAGGGACTTGAAGCTACATATGAGTCTGCAGTATCTAAGACCCATATCGATTAACATGTAAAGGTCCTCTCCATCTAACTTCCTCAACCTATGGACTCGGATGTCTAAGAATTACCCAAAAAATAAATAAAAATTACTACATTGTAGCTACTGCCAAGGAAGCAGCAACTAGGAAAGCTTTGAGAACTCAGACGAAAAAAGGCATCAAAAGGAAAAGCAAAGAACTGCGACTTAGATATACAATACAAGTAAATCAAAACAAAGCAAAGAAAATAGAATCCAAGTCCAAACTTGCAATTGCAGATAGTCATAAAAGGACTAGTTGGAATACTTTTTAAAACATGAAAATATGACCCTACAAAGAGCCTCCACTGTAGCAGAAAGGTAGACAAGGAAAACAAGGACAAATTACATAAAACAGACAAACCCCCTTAACCAACATGTTTTCTGAGCTAAGCTCAAACACTTGCCAGGATTGTTGGTAATGACTCTTACATACCCTATGGGAAGGCAAACTATTTTTAGTTGTAGGATTTCATAACTGTGCCAACAGAAAGGCATGACATGCAAAAACTTAGAATAGGTTATGTCAGTTTGTAAGAGTTACATGAACTTCAATTGAGTAGTTTGACATTAAGTATAACTAACCTGCCTTGCAGAAGTTGGCTAAGACCAATAGATCCAAGCACCGTTAGTGAGATCATAGGAAGTCCATATCTCATAAATGGCGATTTCCTTCCCAATCTTTTGTATGATGAAGTTGGGTTCTGAACCTTGGAAGCAGAGGACGCTGCACGCTCATTAACTTTATTAAGCTGACTCGTCATGGTCTGAGCAGTTGTCATTGGTATACGTCAGGAGGTCCCCTCCTTCACAATCTCCAACTAGGCAAGAAGTTTATAATAATCAATCAAATATTTCCGCTATTTCCTAATCAAAACATGAACTTTCTCTGTTCACAAATTAAAGGGTTTTTTTTCTCCTCACAATTGAGAATTAACAAACACATAATTTAGCACAGCTCAGCAATCAAACTCCATAGGAATTTATTTGCAAAAGAATGTAATGCCACCCACAATACATTTTTGGCATCATCTTCCACAGTAACCATTGAAGAACCAACACTATACCCAATTCAGAATTTGTCCATGAGCTTCTATACTACTTTGGTCCTACCTATTTAATGGGTTCAAGGCGCACTTCGGAGAAAATAGTTACAGGGGCTTAAAGCTAAAGCAAATATAATGAATAATTTCTAGAAACCTATTGAATTCAATTTCAGAAATAGAAGTCCTTTCTTTACAACAGGCACCAGCAAATGATTCAATTTAGCACTACTCAATTGAGATGACCAACACCGAAAAGCCGTAAGAGAAACTAAAGCATATGGAGAAGGCAGAAACAAACAAATCAAAGAACAGAAACTAAAGCAGAAAAACGAGTAAATATAAACGGCGAGATACCATACCAAATAAAAGGGTCAGAGGGTATAATCGAGAATCCGAGATCGAAGACAATCAAACAAGGTAGTGCAGGCAGGCGGCGCACGGCCGAAAGGGAGGTTGATTTGCCGTTGGCGGTGGAGGATTATTTTTGACAGATTCTGGGAAAGAAAAGCAGGATCTTTCGTCACAAATGAAATACCTCTCAAAACTTAAATTCCTATTTTCTTTCTCAATTTTCTTTTGGGCTGAAAAATAGCTAAATGAGTGAGTTAAGATACATGAGCCTTTTTTAATATTTTAAAATTAGTGTATTTGTTCGCGGTTATTAAAAAAAAATAGTAATGTTATAACTTCTATGAGCAAATGAGGTTTACTAATCGTCCATGTTTACATGATTTTACCATATTTTCTCTCTTTTCATGATTATCTTAAAAGTTATTCGAAATTTTTAAATCTTCTTATGATATTTTTTTTTTAGATCTTATATATATAATTAACGGGATCAATTCAATGTATCTCTCTCTTATTTGAGTACTTACCCGGGCGGATACTAACCTTCTTGATAAATATAGATAATCATTGGATATTAATTAAGAAACAAAACATGAAAAAGATTAACTATTTCTCAAATTTTCTAGTTATAATTCTATTTTCTTTTTTGGTACCATTCTCAACGGTGTCATTGTATCCTAAAAATAATCAGGAAGCAAAATAATAACTCATATTTACGGCAAAACAATCAAAGATTGAGGCTATGAATGATTCTTTGGATATGACTTGACTCTTGTATTACTACTTGAACTCTTATTTGGTGTGTTGATATCTTTCAAAAAATATTTCTATTTTAAAATTTCAGTTTCTAAAACTTTATTTTTCATAATAATTATTTTTATAATAATATGAGTAAAAATATTATCCTTAATTCAAAACTCAGTTTAGTTGGCTATCTAGAAATTTAAATAATTCTTTAGCTAGTGAATTTATTTTTTCCAGTATGACTCTATTTTGATATTTGACACTAATCGTGTTAAACATCTGAATTATTTGAATTATATGTAAATAACCTTAAAATTTAAACCTTCTATATAATATAGATAATCGTTAGATATTAATTAAGAAATACTATATGAAAAAAAAATTGAAATCTCGTAGTGATAGTTGTTTTTTGCACCATTCTTATTGGAGTAATTGGAACCTAAAAATAGTCACGAAGCGAAATAATAACTCGTATTTATGGCAAAGCATAAAGGTTGACACAATATGAACGACTCTTTAGTTACGACGTGAGTCTTTAATTACGGCGTGACTCTTCTTTGGTATCTTGTTATATTTCAAAAAATATTTCTATTTTTGAAATTTCAATTTCTAAAACTTTATATATATATATATATATATATATACACACACACACACACACACACACACACACACACACACACACACACACACACAAGTGAAGATATCATCCTTAATTTAAAATTCACTTTAATCGGCTATCTAAAAATTTAAATAATTTTTTAGCCGGTGAAACTTTATTTCAGTATGACTCCATTTTGAGTTTATCTATATCTCTAGCTACAGATTTTAAATTTTGAATACCCTATATATATAAATTTTTTGTTCTTTGAATCATTAAATATTGAATTAGTTGATTGTTATTACATAGCATTGCATATATTGTCTTAAAATTGCCAAGTAACTTTATCTCGATACTATACTTGGCTTAACATCAATGCAAACTACTCAGATTGCATTTAAATTTCAGATTCGAATATCATATCAGTTTGTTAGTAATAGTAATTTTTAAAAACGACACAAAATTATAAATTAAAAAAAATATTCTAAGATATCCTTATCTTATAATCTATGTATTTAAGTTGAATAAAAATATTTAAAATCGATAAGATCAGCTTCCAAATTTTTTATACTCAACAGAGACAAAAGATAAGAAGAATTTGTTGTCATCTCTTATTTCTGGTCCTTAGATTTTTCATACATTTTCTTCTATGTTTATTTTCGTTTATCTTATTTTTTATGTCTTTCTTTCTTTTGTAACAAAAAATTACTTTATTTCGCTATAAAAGGATGATTTTTAATAGAAATTGTCTATATCAGATATTATTTATATATTTAGGCTTTGGTTAAAATTCTTTCATATTTTTCTTTTGGCTTTATCTAATCAGCCTAAATAGGTGTTCACCCAACCACTAAAATTAAAAAATTGAAGGATAAGTAATTTATATATAATTCATATATAATATGTGTATAATCGTGTATTGTTAAGCATATCATCTATGTATATCAGCTATAATAAGTAAACGATAAATCTGGCTAGATATTTATGCAAATATTCCATAAGATCTCGGTTACTTGATTTTATCCGTGATATGACTTCTATTATAATAATTTAAAAAATTCTCTACTAAAATTCAAAACTATCTTATCCTTATATTTTTGAAATTACATTATATTTTAAAAAATAATCACATTTCGAAATAATTTTTTTTAATTTTTCTTTTAAATTCACGTCATAGCATTTTTTTTAAATATACTTTTTGTTACACTTGAAAATCGATATAGAAACTATCAATTAGAAACCAATATCCCTCTTGTTGAAATTAGAGAAAAAACATCTTTCACATAATTTAATTATTCAAAATTAATATTCTTCGACGAAAAAAATATTATACCCTTGCAATGTTGACTTGACTGCAGCTAAATGAAAAAGTTTCAACTTATACTTCAATTCCTAGAAGGTGCTAAATTAAAATTAATGATAGCAATTGTATAACCAATATTTTGTTATTTGTTTTGTCACGACCCGAATTTTCCTCCCTCGGGAGTCATGATGGCGCCTACTAATGAGAGCTAGGCAAGCCAAATTTATTTACTTGACCATTAATAATCTAATCTATTTTAACAATTTACGACAATAATACAAGCAACGAAATTTAATAATAAGCGGAAGTCTTGACATTTTATAACAACCGACTAGAATGCGGAAAGTTCAACAAAATCCTCTACCCAAGACTGGTGTCACTGTACTCACGAACTGCTAAGAATACTACATACAACATCTGAAAGAGAACATAAGCTGTTTGTCTCGAATACAATGAGATAACAGATAAAAAAATAAAGGATAGAGGAGACGTCGGGCCTGCGGACGCCTGCAAGGCTACCTCGGGTCTCGCTGAAATGAAGCCTGCTCTCGCACTACTGCTGCTGCTCGAAACCTGGATCTATGCAAAATAGCACAGAGTGCAGTATCAGCACAACCGACCCAATGTGCTGGTAAGTGTCTAGCCTAACCCCGGCGAAGTAGTGACGAGGCTAGACTGGACTACCACATAAACCCGTGCAATTATATATGTACAGCAGAATCGAAATACAAGACAAGTAAAACAATATGGGAGGGGAAGCATGCTGTGGGGAGATAACAGTTTCAAGTATAAATTGACTAATACCAAGGAAAGGCACAACACATATAACAATAAGGAACAGAGATCAACAAGTGCACGGCATCACCCTTCGTGCTTTTACTCTCATCCTCACCAAGCAATAATATAAACAAACATGCACGGCATCACCCTTCGTGCTTTTACTCTCATTCCTCACATATAATCAATAAAATAGGCACGGAATGGCACATCGTGCGGCACGGCATCACCCTTCGTGCTTTACTCTCTTTTCCTCACAATAAACAAACAATGCACGACATCACCCTTCGTGCTTTACACTCTTTCCTCATGAGAAACAAACAATGCACGGCATCACCCTTTGTGCTTTAACACTCTTCCTCACCCAATCAACAATCACAAACAAGGGCAAGGGAATAATAAAACAATAATGAACATCCTGACAAGGGTACACAAACAAACAATTAAAAACCCGGCAAGGGTACAACATCAATAACCAACAACGTCCCGGTAAGGGAATAAATCATTAACTCTTCACTTACTTTCCCTTTCATTTCATAGTTCACATTATCGCTTGAGCCAATGCTCCAAAGAGTTACTTATCGCATATACCTTCACAATTTATATTTCAACCCGATCCAATGCTCCACGAAGTTCAAAGATCACAACTTCTTTCATAAGATCTTTACAACATATAGAAGTCATCAATTAAGCATGGAAGGCATAACAACAACCAAACTATTCGCAAAATAAGGACTCACGGTCATGCTAGACTCCAATGTATAGATACTCGTCACCATGCCTATACATCGTACTCGACAATTAACAAGTTACAATTAAGACTCAACTCCTATTCCCTCAAGCTAGGGTTAAACCAAACACTTACCTCGATGCCTTGAACTCAACTCAAGCCTCCACTATGGCTTTACCCCGTGATTCCACCTCCAATCCGCTCGAATCTAACCACAAATTACTTAATTGCTTTAATAAACGCTAAATGAATCAATTTGAATGCATAAAAATGAATTTTCCAAAGTTTTTCCCAAAAAAATCCAAAATCGCCCCCGGGCCCACGTCGTCAAAACCCGAGGTTCGAACCAAAACCCGGTTACCCATTCCCCCACGAACTCAAATATGCAATTTGTTTTAAAATCGGACCTCAAATTGAGGTCCAAATCCCCAATTTTTAGAAAACCTAGGTTCTACCCAAAACCCCCAATTTCACCCATGAAAATCTTTGATTTTAAGTTGAAAACATGTTAAATGATGTTAAAGATTGAAAGAAATGAGTAAAAACAAACTTACAAATGATTTGGAAGAAGTCTTGTTCTTGGAAAATCGCCCAAAGAGGTTTGTGTTTTGAAAGAATGTTAAAATGACTCAAAATTTCGGCTAAGTGTAAAATATGCAGGTTGCAGATGTGGGAAATGCGAACTTGGGTTCGCATTTGCGAACCCAGCAGAATTCCCCCAGATTTCGCATTTGCGAACTATATCTCGCATTTGCGACCTTAAGTGGAAAAAGGGGAGGTTCGCATTTGCGAGCAAAAGAGTCGCATTTGCGACCTGCTCGACTTCGCATTTGCGGACCATTTGGTCGCATTTGCGACCCCAGCTGCTGACTCCCTCTTCTCGCATTTGCGATGCC